TTCCCAGTTGACAGATATCTGGTAGCACTCAAAGAAGCCTTCAATTATCATGTGATCAATGGGTGCCATAATCTCGAGACACTTGCCATCAATCACATCAACCGAATTGGTTTCGTTTGTGATCAAGTGTTTCATCAACTCTTTGCCGGTGATGGCGATCAGATTGTGTTGAATAAGTTGCGGAGAATTGACTTCATGTACGACAATCTCATGACAGACATGTGGACCCGATTTGAAGACATTTATGGCGATCGCGTCAAGAGTATTGGTGTTCAGATTGAGGTCAACCCTTCCATCGATGACCACTCGTACGTCAAGACTCTGATGACTGGTTTGTCGCATATGAATGGATGAAAGGATTTGCACATTGAATTGATGACAAGAGATCAGTCATTGACTCATGAATTTGTGGATCAGTTGAGCAAAATTGGGACCAATTGTCGGAGTCTTAAAAAACTGTCCATTCATTTGTATATCTCTTCAGTGAATATAATGAGAGATTTGTGGCGAGTATTGAGCGAACATTTTGGGAACCGTTTGACTCGTTTGGCATTCAGTGGCGAATATCCCAAAGATTGGGAACTAATGGATGAATCACTTCGTGAATGCAAACGATTGAAGTATTTGACTATCGATTACAAGCAGAGTCTCATTGATTACAAGTTTTACGATAAGATCAGTGGATGTCTACCGAGACTGCAATACCTATCCATTGGTAACACAGTTATTAGCGATCAGTCTTTGGACTCGTTGTCGAAGTTAACGAAAATACAGACCATTCGTCTTAAAGGGCCCGAAAAGTTCACCCAAACATGTGTTGAGAATCTGATAGAAAAGTGTCCCAAAATCAAAGTGATTGTCATCAATGATAGGAAAATGATAGTAATATTTGATTTATATTTGTGTTAATTAACATTCAGTATTTACCGTATAATAAATATTTTGTATAACTGTATTTAAAACCTGTAATTATTGTCTTTAATTCATATAATGTTTTGCATTCAATACATATTTATAACAGTATTTCAATTGTGTGTTAATTTAGTTCACATTTTCTATAATTATTTTCAATTCTAACTTATGTTTACTAATTATAAACTATTCATACGTTTGTTTCAATATTTAATACTCGACTTAATTGATGTGTTTAACTGATTATTGCATACATTTTAACTTTCAATATAATTGTTATCTAACAATATGTTAATTAATATGTTTTTAGTTCACTTTATTTGTAATACAGAATAAGTTTTTAATGAAAAGTATTATTATTTTTTATTGAATGAATGTGTGATAAGAAAATTGTATTAAAATTTATGATTAGATTTATTAATAGTTGTAATTATTGAATTTGAAATAAACTCTAAAATACTTTTTTATATCTCAATTATATTTCAAATAAGGGACTTAATATTTGTGACTAACAGCGTGTTTAAGACTATTAATATTAAAACAATAGAGACGTCTATTTATAGTTATTTATTCAATTCAATACACTTTACATAAATTCAATTTCCAATGAATTTATTGTTTACAAGACTTTGATTTGTTATTATTTTGATTACTTGGATAATTTTAAAATGAAAAAATTAATCAATTAGTACAAAGTTTGTAAAATCTATATAAAAAAGTGTATTAAAATCTTGATAAGAATAGTACAGAAAAACATCCGGAACAATTGAATAACAATTTATCACAATGTGTACCGAGAAAATGTATAAACACATAATTCCTTTGCAATATTCCTATAACCAGGTCACCCACCTGTCCACTAGTAATTAACAAATGTTTGCTTCCGACAAACTTTAAATACTGTCCATTAGTCTTAATTATGTATTTTTAAAATCTATTAAAATGTTGTATGAACTTTTAAAAACTAAATAATATTAAATGTGTTATAAAGTAGAAAAACATGTGTAGATTCAGTGGCTTATTGTGTCATTCAGTACTGGACTACTCAAGTGATTTCAAGCTTATATACAATATTTATAGTTGTCTCAAGTGTTTCAAACATTAAAGCAAATACAACTATTTAAATATATTTAGTATAAAGTTCTGTTGAAGTTCTGTATATTTATTAAAATATTAAAACGAAAAAACTAAAAAATATGATATGAAATGAATTTGAAAAACTGGTGTAAAAACTAAGTCATTGGGTTATTCAGGAAATAACTGCTCACTTCATCATACGAGATGTGATATTAGGTTTACTATGAGTGATAGCACAGTCAGCTCCAAGTCATAGCCATTGCGTACAGTGTATTGAATTAGACTACTTGTCCGCACCCGCACTCGGAAGTGATGTGTGCTTTAGTTCCTCTATATTTTATGTGTCGATTAAAAACACAAATTAAAAGTTTTGAGAAACTTTTCAGCCGCCAAATAGTAAGCCTTGTAATTTTAGTGAGCAGTGTAAGTTTATTGAATGGCAGTTAACAAACTCTTTTCTCACTGGTGTTTGAAGTTTATTTAACTCAAACTTTGAGACATTGATTACAGAAGTGAGAGGAGAGACGACTAAACGCCAGAAAACGTGTTTCTTCTTACCATTTATTTCTGCCAACCATTTGAAGCAAAGTTCACATAAATATATAATTGTTTTTATAAAAGTTTTTGATTTTGATTATTACTGTTATGTAAAACCAGTTTTACAAACCGTTTGGTCGAGTGAAGAGAGAGAGAGAGAAAATATATTATAATTTAGTTTTTTAAGACGATTTCGAGAGAAAAATTGAGGTTTTGCTCACAAAACACACATATTTTATATAATATTTTAAATCAACTCGTATTTTACCACTAAATTGTCGCCACAAGAGTACAACTAATATCAGTGCATATATTGCTTGTAAGTGTCGACAGAAAAAGATTTTCTCATTTATTGTGTGCCAATAATTTGCACGAAAAAAGTTTTTGGTGTCAATAGTTTGCATAACGTTTTAATGGAGACATCAGTTTCTTAATTGTATTTAAAAAATATTTTTTCCTCAAAACCACTGCAAAACTATCGATAAATATAATGATCAGTGAAAACAAGGAAAACACGGCCGACTCGTTGGACACCTATTTGGACGCCTCGTCTCCCACCTCCTCGTCCATCAACATGTGTGCCGTGTGTTTGGACAGCATATCGATGCCGTGCCGCCTACTGGACACCTGTGAGCACCGGTACTGTTTCGAGTGTCTGTTCCGGTGGTCAAAGATCCACAACTCGTGCCCTCTTTGTCAGCGACTGTTCACACGGATTGGCCATCAGATCCACTCCGACCAACAGCTCAACACATTTGAGTCCATTCTGACCGGCATTCAGATGGACCTGAACTCCAAGAACTTTACGTTACGTAAGCTCTTAAGGTGTCCCAAATGGCGAGATTTGGACAACTTTTGGGGCCGAGTGGTCAGCACTGGTGTCGTCTGTAAGCGTAAAATTGTGTTCATTTTGCTGATTGACGCCAACAAAGAGCCCAAACGAGAGCTCATCCACAAGAGAGTCGAAGAAGTGGTTAATATCATAGTCGATAACATAGAAGACGATCAGTTCTCCAGTGTTATCGATATGTTGCTCAAGGGATCCGTTAATAACATATCTGTCATGACTTTAATTGTTTGTTGTCGAAAGAAAAGTAAAGATAAAAAATGAAGTTTTCATTCAATAATTGAGTTTAAATCTCAAGTTTTATAAGATTAGTGTTATTTCAGTATTTGTTATCAATAGAAATGCAAAGTTTTTATTTCTCACTTCTTGTCATTTAAATGATTGTTATTTAGTTTATATTTTAATATTAGTTTTAATTATTGTTTTGAAATATAATCTTAAAATTCCTAAACTTTATATCAATAAATCAATTTCATTCAATTATTTAATTTATTGCATTAAATTGTTTTAATTATTTTATGTACAGTAGTAATAAAGTCCAACAAAGTTTTAATGAAATTCAATTGCTAACATTTTTCTGGCTATACAATGTATACATACTATACTTATATTTGAAGTAATTTTAATTTTTTTATAAATATGAGTAAATATTTTATATGACAGAAGTTTGTGGAAAAATCAGGAAATAACAGTAACTGATCACAAAATTTAACACAATTTAGTCAATGGATTGGTATTTAAATGATTAGCCTAAGCAACAAAAACACCACAAACTGTGGGCTATTTCAATAGATTTTAGAAAGTAGTTCCGTATGTTTTGAATAATTTTTATCTAATTTGAATAATAATTAAAAGTTAGCACTAATCTTATAGTAGCATATAAATCATTGATACAGTATAAAAGTTCCTTGATTTTCAAATATTTTAATACATTTCTGTTTTATTTTTTAAAATCATTTTATTCGTGTTATAAAACATTGACAGTAAGTTAAAGTTATGTATTTTTGGTGATTTTCTATCACCATTTAATATAATGATTAGAAGTGAACGCAATTTACATATTAAACTAATTCACGAGTCAATTGAGTACTTTACAAACACTGATAAAATATAAAAAGGGCTCAAATTAAATGAAATCTGTATCACGAGTCGAGTCACAAACCACAATGAATACCGGAATTTTATTTATACTTCTAATCTCTTATCAAATGGATTTAAATTGACTGTTCTTTCAATAATAAACTGTTTAATAAATAACAGTGTTTATACAAATCACAAGTTTATTCAATGCGGTTTTTATCGCTTTATTTTTATTTATAAAGTTTTATTTTTAATTTTGATATATATTTACAAGTTAGTTAATTATTTTTAGACTAAAAGGGATCATCAAAAAGGGGATTCAAGAATTGCATATCAGTTTTGCAATAGGCTTTGGCACTGTTATGTATTAACTACAATTCACTTATTCTGCTTTAATTATAATAATTATATAATAAAATTGGTACTTAAAAACATATAATTAATATCTACTTATCAAAGATAAACATTTAAAAGTTAACTTTACTTTTTAAAAACTGAGTTTTTATATAATATTAAAAATAAGTTTTATTTGTATATTTATATGAGTTTTCAGAGCATTTACACCGATTACTAAACTAATTAACAAATTAAAAACCATCGCAACATATAATAGAAACTTATTTTAAGTTTTAAAAAATCATAAAAATAGATATTTCGACGCAATGATAAGTAACTGTTAAGTAGACTACCGGTGCCCACAAAATGTATATCAAATTAGTCGATCTATTATTCTGTAAAAATTTGAGGTAAGAATTCAAAGGAGAATCTGTCGTTAAAAAGACTTAATTTTCCGGTTCTGTACGTGACGTAAAAGAAAGCGCCGATGAATGAGATGACACCCACTTTGCCGGCCCGACTGATCACCCGGTCCTGCCATTGCCGGTCTTTGATGCACTTCTTGTAGGGGATCCGCGTGAACGTCACCATCGAGTACAGTGGTATCCACCAGCGGGGGAACAGTGTGTTTAGGAAGAGGTCAAACTTTTTGCGCACCAAAAAGCTCCTGGAGTTGACCAGATCTCGCATTTCGATGTAGTTATCCATCGCTAAGTCGATAATTGTGTGACAATTCTCGATACGACTGTCGCTGAACAGTGGCACCACTTTGCGGATGGAGTTGTCGTGTTTGGCGAGGAGTTCGTCCAAAATGATACAGTCCTCGAAACCACAGTTCATTCCCTGGCCGAAGAAGGGCACCATCGCGTGGGCGGCGTCGCCCATAAGCAACACTTTGTCCAAATAGTTGTATGGATTGCATTTGATTGATATGAGGGGCAGGGGTTGGGCGGCGAAGAATACTTTGACCAATTGTTCCCTACATTCATATGTGATGTGATATTGAATTTCAAACAAATATATGGCTCAATGTCTTACTCTCCGATCAATGGTATAGAATCGGCGAAGTATTGCCTGAAGAAGTTGAGCAGATCCTCCCTGTCCTGAATGGACTCGTAGTAAGTGAATGGCATAAATAGTGTGACCGTAAAGCTGTGGTCCAGGTTTGGCAGCGCGATCATCATGAACGAGCCCCGGGGCCATATGTGCAGGTAATTCACTTCCATAGCGAAGTCACCGTTAGCTTTAGGAGGTATACAGAGCTCAATATAGCCGTGCTCTATATACTGTTGGCTGTAATTGAACCGGATCAGTTTGACCATTGCCCGCCGCACCGACGAAAAGGCGCCGTCGCATCCGATTATGAGGTCTGCCTTTTCGTGCCTTTGTTTCTGTTTGTCCTCTTCCAACACGAATGTCATCTTACCTGACATTATGGCAAAT